ACCGACTTCAGCCAGGTCACGATCTCGTGGTCCGTGAGTTCGAGCCCCGCGTCAGGCTCTGGGCTGATGGCTCAGAGCCTGGAGCCTGTTTCCGATTCTGTGTCTCCCTCTCTCTCTGCCCCTCCCCCGTTCATGCTCTGTCTCTGTCCCAAAAATAAATAAACGTTAAAAAAAAAATTAAAAAAAAAAACTGAGAACAAACTGAGCGTTGAGAGGGGGTGGGAAGGGGAGGATAGGTGATGGGCATTGAAGAGGACATCTTTTGGGATGAGCACTGGGTGTTGTATGGAAACCAATTTGACAATAAATTTCATACATTAAAAAAGATAAAAAATTAAAAATTAAAAAAACCAAAAAAAAGACCAAAAAAAATTTTTTTTAAGTTTATTTATTTATTTTGAGAGAGACAGAGGCAGGATGAGTAGGGGAGGGGCAGAGAGAGAGAGAGAATTCCAAGCAGGCTCCGCGCTGCCAGCACAGAGCCTGATGTGGGACCCGAACACACAAAGCTGTGAGATCATGACCTGAGCCGAAACCAAGAGTTGGACACTTAACTGACTGAGCCACCCAAGCACCCCTACCCAAACCAATTCTGAAAAAGAACAAAGTTGGAAGAGTCATGCTACCTGATTTCCAGACTTACTAAAAGCTATCATATTGGAGACAAGATGGTAATGGACGAAGGACAGCTCTACAGACCGATGGAACTGACAAAGGAGTCCAGAAATAGACCTACATGGATATGGTCAAATGATTTTGTGGGAGTTACGAAGACAACCTAAAAGGGAAAGACTCATCATTTGAACAAGCAGTGCAGGGACAAATGACTACCCAGATGCCGAAAACGAACCGCAACCCATAATTTGGACAATACAAAAATTAACTCAGGATGGTTAACTCAAATTCTCACCTGTTTCAAACTTACACAGTTTTGCTGATTACCAACAGAGCCATTCCAAACATTTCCATTTCACTTGGATGACTGATGGGATTGCCTGGGTTAAACAGTAAGCAAAAGCATAACTTTACGAGAAACTATTAAACATTTTTCCAGAGTGGTTGCCTGATTTTGCATCTTCACCAACAATATACGAAAGTCCCAGTCACTCCATAGCTTTGTCAGTACCTGATATTGTTAGCACTTTTTAAAGTCATTGTAATGAATGTCTCATTGTGGTTTTAATTTGCATTTCCCCACCAGCTAATGCTGTTCAACATCTTAACATGTGTTTATTTGCCACCTATATATGTTATTTGGCTATACGTCTGTTTAAATCTTTTGACTATTTATTTTATTATTTTTTTAAGATTTTAAGTAATCTCTGCACTCCACGTGGGGCTCGAACTCACAACCCTGCGATCAAGAGTTGCATGCTCTACTGACTGAGCCAGCCAGGGGCCCCAAATCTTTTGCCCATTTAAAAATTTGAGTTGAGGAGCACCTGGGTGGCTCAGCCGGTTAAGCGTCTGACTCTGGCTCAGGTCATGATCTCGTGGTCCGTGAGTTCATGCCCCACATCGGGCTCTGTGCTGACAGCTCAGAGCCTGGAGTCTGCTTTGGATTCTGTGTTCCCCCCCTCGCCCCTCCCCCACTCGTGCTCTGTCTTATTCTGTCTCTCAAAAATAAATAAATGTTAAAAAAAAAAGAATAAAAATTTGAGTTGAGTTGTTGCTCAAGGTCATGAACCATTTCTTCCATAGTTTCTTCAAGATGTTTCACCGTTTGGAGGCTCCTGGGTGGCTCAATTGGTTGAGCATCCAACTTTGGCTCAGGTCATGATCTCTTGGTTTGTGAGAGTGCGAGCCCCACATCGGGCTTGTTGCTGTCAGCTCAGAGCTCGCTTCGGATCCTCTGTCCCCCTCTCTCTCTGCTCCTCCCCTACTTGTTCTCTCTCACACGCCCTCAAAAATAAATACAAAACATTTAAAAATTTTTTTAAAAAGGATGTTTTATAGTTTAGGTTTTACATCTAGGTATATGATCCATTTTTAAACCAGCTGTGGGGTGCCTGGGTGGCTCAGTTGATCGTCTGACTTCAGCTCAGGTCATGATCTCACAGCTCTGTGAGTTCGAGCCCCACATCGGGCTCTGTGCTGACGGCTGGGAGCCTGAGCCTCCTTCGGATTCTGTGTCTCCCTCTCTCTCTGCCCCTAACCCACTCGCATTCTGTCTCTGTTTCTCTCAAAAATAAATAACATTAAAAGAATTAAAAAAAACCAGCTGCTTCTTTCCACTTCCTTGTGTCAGGAAAGGTTTCTAAATTCTTATTAGCTCTGGTCCTGCCACAGACAGTCCTACCAAGACCTGGGACCCACCCTGGATGGGCCATACCAGGGCAGAGGCAGGAGACCATGGCAGGGATAAAAGCCCACACAGCTCTTGCCCTCCCTCTACATTTAATCATGATGGGCACTGAGCCAGGTCAGGGGTGACAGAAAACGGAGCTCTAAGACCAGAAAAAACTTGACCTTGACTTGGCACATGGAACCTGGCCAGGTCTGACTGAGGCTGAGTCATAAGGCTTTGCCCCAAGGTAGGGTGTTGGGGTCAGGGCACAGAGTGACTTCTGTCTTTGCTCCCTCCTGGCCTCTAAGTGGAAGATTCCAGAGGAGATGCAGCCTCTCCTCACCCCAAGTTCTGGAGCAAGAAATCCCAAGGATAGGATGTGGAGAACAGAGGGGGCAGAGACAGAGGCTGGGAGGTGGCGGAGGGAGAGGGCAGAAGGGGCAAGGGAGGGATGTAATGGGACAAGGAGAGAAGCAAGAGTGGGCCAAGGAGCTGGAGGATGGGGAAAGAGAGGGGAGTGAGGCGCAAAGGGGATAAAGGAATAGAGGGGACAAAGAAGGACATAGGGACACAGAATAGCACAGGCTAAATACCAGTGGATGTCTTCCCTGAAGTTGCATGTGTCCAAGGGTGGAAGGTCCTAATGTGAGTGTGTGCACCTGTCCATGGTTGAGTCTGTTGTGTTTGTGATTTTGAATGAGTACCTCAGGGTCTACATCTGTAACTGTGGTCAAGGATCATAAGGAATGCGGCTCATGATTATTTGTTGGTCTGTGTGGCAGCACGGATGCGGGGACATGTAGTTAGGGTCTCGGTGGGCTCCCTCTCCCACTCTGGCTGAAGGGCCCCCATGGGACCTGCTTAGCTTTTTCCTGGACAGAGAGTACCTGGCCCTCTCTTTGGTGTATCTGGGGTGATTTGCCACCCCCCCC